CTGATCATGTCGTGGACTTCGGCGAGCTGCAGGTCGAGCGAGACCTTATCTATGAGGAGGTGCCAGTAGCTATTCTGGATCGAAAGGTCCATCAGCTGAGGAACCGGGCAGTGAGCTTAGTGAAGGTGCTGTGGAGCCGACACGATGAGACCGAGGCGACTTGGGACAGGGAGGACGGTATTAGGAGGCGTTATCCGAACTTCGAGTTCTGAGTTCTCCTTTGTATCTTTTATCGCTTTCTAGTTTTGTTTTCGAATTCCGAGGTCGGAATTCTTTGTAAGGTGGGTAGACTGTGACGCCCCGTTCGTTTATGAAAAATTTGGATTATTGTTATTATTATTATTATTATTATTATTATTATTATTATCATTATTTGTGGCTATTATTATTGAATGTTAATTGTCTAAATGCTTAAATGATTTTTTATGTGCCTAATTGTGTTTATTATATATATATATTAATTGTGGTATTTTATTTTAAATATTAAATACTATTTTAAATATTTTAATTATTATTATTGTAATTTTATTTCGTAAAACCGAGCATGTTCGAACCCCTCCGAAAACGCGCGCCCGTGAGCCGAGCCCGCGCCTAGGCGGCCGCCCCTCCCCTTCTTTCCTTGTTTGTGATGTGGTTTATTTTGGCAAGTGACTTGTAGGTTAAGTCACAATCCCTAGCTGTATGTATGAGAGAAGACATCCCTCTCCCCTCATCTTTTTTTTTTCAGCCGCCTCCTCTCTTCCCTCCCTCACTCTCTCCCTCGCCGATCTCTCTCGCTCTCTCTCCCTCCCTCAGCCTGTCCGTTCATCGCGAGCCCTTCCCCTGCCGTCGCCCGTCCCGCAGGCCAGCCCCGATCGCACGACCAGGCCATTGGAGCACCCCCAGGCCTCAGTTCACGCCTCCCCGTCGTCACCCGTTGCCCAGCAGACGCGCACGAGACGCCCCGGCATCCCGCCAGCGCCCGCAAGCCCGTCTCCCCGCACGTCCGCGATCTCCCTCGGCGCTTCGATCCCTCTCTCATGCGATTTATCCCGAGAATGGTACAAGGCTGATACTTTTCAGTATTTTAGTATATATATGCTATATGATGATACCTTGTTGGGAGATCTCATGTTAAAGTTTACCATATGATCGATTTTACTCGCGTTTAAGTCGTTTATGTTATTCGATAGTGATCTTTTGTTAACTCGTGTTATTTGCTGTGGATCTATGGAACACTTGAAGTCTTTGGCCTTATGATGTAGGCCTTAGACGAAATTATTGATTAATTTAATTGTTGTGCATTTTTGAATCGTGTA